CTATGTTTTTTCCATGGCGATCGTGCGTTGAGCTGTTACTGCCCACAATACAGCAACGGTTTACCATGGTTGAAATGAAGTTAAGGTGAAATAATCAAATTAAAAACACGGCTGAGAGGGAGTACAGTATGTGGTAGTCGTAGGCAGTAGTCTGAGCAGCGGTAAAGGAGGCCATCAACATGGCGGCCACGCAAAGTAATTACGTCATGACGCCCAAGCCCTATTGGCAAAATTTATTAACGATCACATGTAAAAAGAAAAGTGTAAAGAGCATACATTAAACACCAGTCAGGGGTCACAGCATTTACTGCTATCCCCCAGTTCCCAAGGGGGCTATCAGTTTCTCCTGAGTGAGTGCAGTGGGTTGAACAAACGTGGTCTTTAAACAACTGAACTCTGAGACTCAAATTAACTCTCAATGCAGGAAGAATGGGGGTGAAATAATTTACAAATAAACAGATATGCAAAGGGTTTTTAAACTTAACATAGGCCACATTCACTGGGCTTTAGACACTGTGAATCCAGAGAAAAGTATAAAAGACTTTCAGAAAGTCTAGTGATCTGTTCATCAGTATCACCTTTAAAGGAGTTCAGGCCGATAGGGTGGAAAATATAAAGCAATAAGTTATTGGACACTGCCGTAGAACCATCGGAACCAGTTAGGGGAAAATCTATCTCTGTTAAACGTCCTCTGACTTCTCATGCTGACGGTGATCAGCAGGCAAAACTCCAACAATCAAGAGTTTATATCCCACGCAGAAATAAGAAAAAAAACAAAAACACATCATTTCATTTTTTCATGTTGCACCTATGAGACACAAAGATGAACTCATGAAAGAATCATGGCAGATAAATAACTGTTTATAGTATATCAAATATGATTTTATATTGAGTGTTTTTGCTATACAGTATGTCCTTTGTCCCTCTGCCAGGTTTTGGACTCTCAGTCTTTCATAAGACTGAAATTTAACTCATAAGACTGAATTTGATTTAGCAGTAACTTTATGGACAAATGGCACAAAAATGCTTATTTTAATGAAAAATAGTGTGTGCTTAAAAGATGTATATGTATTTGGGTCACTTTCATAAAAAGAACACCTGTACCTATAGAGATCGCTGTCCACCACACCTCATCTGTGTGGACGCAAGGAAAACAAGGAAAAAATCAACTCAAGGTTTTGCAAAACCAAAAATAGGTTTATTGGTTGTCATTTGCAAACACATATTTCATTTGAATGCACAAAGAGAGAAATATCATTTATGCTTTGTTTTTGGGCATATTTTTATGCTAACTTTAAAACAGATTATTATGCTAATGAGATTTTAAAAGCAATGCTAAACATTGTCTTTTCCACCTCTATATATAATACAATATTTATGGTATTTTAATACAAACACTATGAAATAATTTTTTCTGCACATTCTGATAAAGTAGAACTAATCAAAATATTTCAGAAAAATTTAATGAGCAAATTTCACTGCAGTTGGAGAATCACCCCAGAGATTAAACTCCCTTCTAATAGCAAGTTTATAACTTAGTTCATGGGGAAATTAAGACCAGTGTTACGTAAAAAAAAAAATAAAAATTAAAAGTCTGATTAGAGAAAAATCACACTGAGATTAAACATTTATTGCCAAATAATTTCAACAATATAAGATGCAAAAAAAAAAGAACAGAATCTGTCTGAGCAGAAATTCAATATTAAAAGATCACTATTCTATGATACTGAAAAGAAAAAAGCCATTAAAAATCTAAATGAAAGGTTAATGATGTATCACTGGTTAAATAAATCATAGAAAGATAATTATTCAGCTGATTTTATCTAATTCTTCTAACTTTACAGGTTTTGTTTATTTATGTTGACCTGATGCCAGACAGGAAAAAAAATGATTAATCTCAACATTAAACTTTCCTTCCTGCGAAACACTAAATGCTGTTAAATGTGTTGTTAAACAAACATTAGGCGGGTCAAAAATAGCTTACTTGATATAACACTTTTTGTAGCTTTTGTGGATAATTAATCTGTACATGGTAAAAAATAGAATAAAATATTTTTACCACCAGAAAGCCTCTTAGTTGTTTCAGTTATTACAATAAGCTAGAATTACATTTGGATTTCTTTTACATACTTTTATTACATTTTTTTTTTTAAAACCTTTGAGCATCACCATCTGCTGTCTACAACTGATTATATGTATACAAAAAAAAAAAAATCACACATCAGAGAAAATAAATCAGGATATTCGATAAAAGGCAGAAAAGAAACCAGACTGGATTGAGAAGAGTGGACGTGTTGCTCACACCCGTTCACTCTTGGCATGGTTGGAGGGACGATCTACCTCCCGGGCCGTTCCGCCCCTCCTGGAGTAGAAGAAGCTCTTCTCCCTGGACTCATCGTCAATGAGGGCAACCAGGAAACACAGGATGATAATCCCGCTCAGCAGACAGAGGCCGGCTCCAGCCCAGCCAACGTACAGAGAGTAGCCGAAGGACATGAGGTGCTCGGTTTTGTTTGCTCCTATAGGGAACCAGATGGTTGCAACGGCGCCAAACACAGCTGTTTTTCCAGAAGGATGATGATTGTTTTGAAAGACAAAAAAAAAGAATAAAGAGAAGGTTATATGTTTTTGATCATGTCTGGTCAGAAGGATTATGGGCAGGAACTGTTTGTTCTAAAGAATCAGACGGATGGATCTAGTCAAGATGAGGAAGAGCATCCAGACCAGAACCCTCCCCGTTCTCTTAAAAACAGCCAAAAAACAGCAGATTAATGTACTGAAAAGGTCGATCCACTCTCAATTTCTTTTATGAGTTAATCAGTAGAACTGTTTTCACATTTTCAATGACAACAAAGGTTTGTTTTCTGAAACGGTTTACAAAAATCAAAAAATTTAAATCTATCTCCATAGACTAAAAATTAGTCAAACACAAAACTATGACACCAATAAAAGTTTCTTTACTTAAATTGGATCTTTTACCAAAACCAGAGGTATAGCTAGAGGTGCAAAATGAAAGACCATGAGGGGATTTTAGCTCAGTGCCGCAGGTTTAAGGTCAGGATGAAGAATTCGATAGATGTAAAAAACAAATTGTATCTGAATGTTGCTGCAGTCTGCAATCACATTTATGGCGTGCTATCTGCTTATATCACTTATTTGATTTCTGTGCACTTATGGCTTTATATAGCACCTTTTCAAGTCAGGAGACTTTACCAATGCACTGTGCTTTGGGGTGGGGTGGGGGGTGTTCTATGGCAGTAGTGGCTTTTTTAGACAGTAGGCTGACAGGAAAGGGGGTATGAGAGAGCAAGTTCAACCTAGTAGGTCTCTAAACTGCCCTCCCCCAGGGCGTCACTGAGGAATCTTGGTTCAGTATTCTTTGGTACTGGAACAGGGCAGGAGGTCTTCCTCATCACATATTGTATAAAGATTATTTGCAGTCCTGCTGCATTGATCACTGGCTACCTACCCGTCTAGACTTTTTTCTTTATTAATATAATTCTACTATCATCATTTCTGTATATATGTCCAAATATGTTTCCATGCACACAGAATCTCGCTCCATCGTCCAGCATTTAACTAATTCCCGCCTTTGTGTCAACAGTGACCCCAGAAATCTTTGCATGAGAGTTTGAACTTTCAGAAGTGATAAAAAGACATAAAAACTGGAACCACAGTTAAGCATTGGATTTTGAAAATCATTTGCATGAGGTAAATGTTGACATTTGAATATCCTCCACCTATGACTTCATGCAGTTTGGTCATACGAATATGATGTGTAAATTAATGAAGGCACACAGGGAAAAAGTTTGTTTGCACACGCTGTCTGCTGAACTGCAAATGAAAATAATTTAATTTTAACCTTTTTAGAAGATCTGCTCTGGGCTCATAAAAAACCGTGAAGACGTGAAGTCCTTCTGAAAATCAGCTCCTTAGTTTTTATTTTCTCAAAAATGTTTCTCTTTAGATGATCAGCACAAAGTAGTGCATAATTAGAAAAAATTTTATGTTTTTGACAGTTAGCTGAATAGTGTGGTGTGTGTTTGTAGTCTAACCACACACTACTAATTTAATTTAACTAGGTCTGGACTTTCACTAGGTCATTTCTAACTTATTAAAGCATTTCAATATAAACCATTCCACTGCAGCTCTGACTGATCGTTTAGGTCCTACAATGATCCTCTTACTACACACTAGTCATGTTCTGGTCTCAAGTTCTTTTTTTTTATTATTATTACTTTTTTATTTAGCATCAGAGATAAATTATATCATTTTAATTACAAGGAGGCATGATACTCATATTTATATTTTAACCCCTCATCCCAAAAACATGTTGGCCACATGTTTTTGGGATTATCTACTCCAGTAGGAGTAGATAATTGCAGGTAATACAAAAATAAACAAGAACAGTGAAGAAAAAAAAAAAGTAAAATAAAAAAAAAATAGAAACATTTTTACATACATGCATATATACATCCAAATATATACACATGTATGAGAGTACATAACAAAAAGAGCATATATCTCGGTTTGCCAGCACTGATGTTGTGCACTAGACAAGGCATGGGTTTAATCATAATCACAAATACAAACGCAGGATGACTGCCAGAGGATCATCAAGTGGGCACTGTTTTAAGTTTACCTAAATGCATCAATATTCGACCCCAGCGAGAGAAAAATCTATTCCTGGACCCCCTTAAAGTATATTTTATTTTCTCTAATTGTATTAAGTGTGTCAGGTCACTAAACTGAAGCTTATGAATTTAGAAACTATATGTTTTCATTGGACCCTATAAAATCCCATTAGGTTATTGCATTTATATAATTAGGATTACTGTAACAAGATGGAAAAGTTCAAGAAGTTGAGTTTCTCATAAAAGTCACAATAAAGTAAATAAGTTTGGGGAAATATTGAATTTTATTGATCTCACAATGGAGAAATTAACTCTGCATTTAACCAATCCCCTTTGGGGATCAATGGGCTGCCATCGTGTTGCTCCCGGGGAGCAATCAGGGGATAAGGGGGTACCTTTCGAACTCACAAACTCAGGATTCAAAGCCCTTTGCCCTGACCACTAGGCTCTAAATGAATATGGGGATCAGTATTGTATTAGAAAGGTCTGGATCTTGGTTCTGTGAGGGTGTCCTGATGCTTCCTCACCCATGATGATGAAGAGGATGCCGCCCACTCTGGTATTGCGCTTCTTGACAGTGGTAGTGGCATTGGTGGGAAGCCGAATGCACGGCGTGGACAGGAGGACCAGCAGAAGTGCAGGAAGTCCCAGAAGACATACGGAGATCATCAAAGCTCGAGACACCTGTACATACGCTGCCAGATACAAAGCATCTGTTCAGAATACGGCAACGCAGCAGACCTCGCATATGCTGCAGGGAATGTTAGGAATGCAGCTCGCTGGCAGACACAGTATGGCATGGCTTCCATCTAACGCATGCTTTCAATTTAGATGCAGTTATTCATATTTTTTATAGCAAGGCAACAATGCTTAGAGACAAACTTCTTCTAATTAGAAAATCATGCAAAATATCTGTCTAAACAGGCAAAATGTAATTATCCTGACTCAAGGAAATTTTCCACAAGGTGACCCATTCCTGGGTGAGTAACAGTAGTCTTCCTGTATCAGTTGAACTTAAACTTGGGCCATGGTTCTTTATAACTGGTTTCAGGTACTTATTCACTTCCATACAGAAAGCCCATTTTCTTATCTTCAGCTACCACAGTAAACATGTCAAATTAAATAATGCTACTTATACTTCAGCAATAGCATCAAGGTGTTACTTTATTGTATCTCTTATACCATGTCTTTTGGTTGTGCTGTTCTTTTTACATCTCTTTGCAGGTGATGAAGCAGACTGAAGATGTTTTATCGTTGTCTCCCTTTTATCTCCTCTTTCTTTCATCTTTTCTGCTTTTTTCAGTTTTTCCTTTCCTGTTCTACCTACATTGTAGTGTCCATATAATCTGTAAAAGTCCCTGCATAATTATGATAAAGATATTTATATGCATAAATCAAGTGGACCACTATGGCGATAGCTGTTGGGTCCTTTTTTGGCATCAACACAATTTTTCTTATTGCCACATTGCCAGACAGGACAAAAAAAGTAACTGGTTAGTAACCAGTAACAAGTAGTTACAGTTACATGAGTGACATTTTAACCGAATTATACTATCAGGAGTTGTTTTACTGCACTGTACTTTTTACTTTTATTCAAGAGTAGAAAATTTATAAAATTTCGCTTCCCTTACTTCAATATCATGTTTGCCTCCTCCATCAATTGTTATTAACTTCCCAGAATAACAAACTAGTTTTTTAAGTGCTCCAGACAAAGACACGCAGTTAATATTTACATCAAATAAGTGGTTGATTTTTTTCTACTCAAGTTTATTTGAACCTATCATTACCTTTGGAGGTCAAGCTAATAAACTGTAGGAGTAAATATTATACTTTTAGGTACTGCTTTCATAGAAAGAAAATTGTTAGTTTTCAACTATAAAATGTGTTTGTTTTAGTTATTTTATTATAACCTTAAAAGCAAAATTTTCCAAACTCCTGAAAATACTTCTACACGTATCAATCTGGTTTATGCCAAGTTCATTTTATTACAGCCTTTAAAATAGAATTTTAATGTAACTAGATTTTTCGTCTTTGTACTCAATACTTTAGTAGCCTTATAGAACTTTTTTACTCTTACCTAGGTTGTTTCCTAGAGGACTACTTTATACTCTTGGTAAAGTACAAATATGATAAAGTAGTTTTACTCCAACTTAAGTGCAATTGTAAGGCATTCTATCCCCTCTGAGCTTAACAGATACAATAGATCAGGTTATCCAAAGAAAAAGAACTTTTAAAGATTATAAAATATATCATTTTCCAACAGTTGAACAAAGAAAATTCAGCATCAATTACATATTCTAATAAAATAAACTCGAAAGTGTCCTTTAAATCGAAATTTTTTCACCTTTAATGTTTTTTTATTTGCAGTTTAGCTGTTTTTTTTTCTCCTTAACAGAATCAATATTGCTATGAAGAAAATGAAAAAGGACTCTCAAAATGGCAAATTTGTGAAATGTAGCTCTTCTACACCCTCCTGCAATTACACTTAGTCCTCCCTAGGGGTCATGCCCCACACTTGTGAATATTTTATCACAATAAGAAACCAAACAGGGATACGGAAGAGGATTAGGGCCACTGAAAAAAAAAAAAAGTTATGTTTTTATCAGTTTCTTTTGTTTTTGTGACTTTTATGCATAAAA